TTAAACTGTTTAGGGAAACTTTGGCGCTTGTTCCAACCCCGACACGCCGATAAGTGTGGGGTTCTCGGTCGTTGTTGGCCTTGTGTCAAACTTCTTCTGTGCCGTGGCCCGTGGCTGCGCAGCAAAAAGGTGTACCTTAGGTAGTCTAAGTACCTACAAAGTAACCGTAAGGAGTAATAAGCTATCGTCATCAAGCTAGGATAGGGGTCTAGCCACATGGAAATATACATCATAATATACTTACATACGCGGGTAGTAATAACCGTAAGATCTAACCCTAAATAGGCTATCGCAGGGATTCAAAAGAACAAACAGAAACCGAATGGACAGGAAAAAAGCAATTCGGCGATTGAACCGCGGCTTCTCTTTTTTTTTTTCCTTCCTTTCTTCATAGCTCCATCCACAGCATCAGTTCCAATGCGTAGGTAGGTATTCTTCGTTTCTTCGTATTCTTCGTACTTTCGTAGGTTCCGTACCCTCGCCTTCTGACCAACATTATAGCCAACAAAATCCAATAGTCTAACAATGGATTTACAGCACCAAGGATTTCATCAAGGATTAGACTTTTCTTTTTACCCATTTACTATTCAGCAGCGTAGAAAACCCCCCTTGATACCTGCTATATGATCGACACTTATAGGCCATCAGGTGAAGATAATCCTCGACGTTCAAGCTCGGAGCTGAAGGCAGTCCAAGATTGCATCGCCGTCTTCCGTTATACAATAGGTAGAATGCCCATGCCTAGGCAATGTGTCTGGGCATTAACATAGCAACTATAGCCTTTGCGGCTCTTAAACGCACTCGGTACGGTGGAACACGTCAGTACTGTTACAATGCAATTTCTCTGCAGCATCTTCCTCGGGCGAATGAGAATCTTGGGCTGCCTTGTTACCGCAAGCCCGATCGGCGACCTAATAAGCTCAAATACCTAAACATTCACTGTTCTAATTAGTTATACATTTGTCATAACTAAGTCTAGTTGCAGTTATGTCTTTACATATTCAGAACTACCTAATACACCAAACTCTTCACCGGCGAAATCCGTCTTGTATGGCGTTATATAGCAGCATGTCCGTCATATTACTAAGGTCCATCAGCCGCGTCGCATATTGCATGTTGGTGTAGGTTGGGTTAAGTTAGGTATCTACCTACATATCAAAACATTAAGCGAGTTCTATACTCCTAGCGTCGGACGCCATAAGCCGCCTCGAAAGTCAATATATACATTGCATGCATGAAGATTACCTACTTTGTAGTTTGTACATAGTTATATTTTGGTATGATGTAGGTATGATGTATGAGGTGTTATGTTTGGCCGTGACGGGTCTTGAGAATGCCGGACGGTAAGGGAATTATGAATTATCCGGACCTTTCAAGCCGATTTAGGATACGCAGCAATTGCTCGGGATACCCGAACATGGTGGCTGACGTGCAGCAGCTTCCGAACTTGCTTCTCCGGCCAGAGTTTAACCGCGCCTATACTTTCCTAGTGTGGCTGCAATATGCATGCCCAGGTGGACACCGCATATTCTGCAATACGTGGGGATCTTATTAGACGGTTATCTGGACCGAGTTTCGCTTTCTTACACCACGCATGCACTACAACGTACCAAATGCAAAAACAAATGCAAACCACTGCAGACAACTGCAGACAACTGCAAAATCATCGTGGCTATGTGGCTATGACTTCAATGTAAAAATATCATCCTACCGAATTTCTACCGGAGATGCATCCACCAACAATTCAGTTCCGCGGATATTCAGAATGATTCTCGGTCTTGATTTTGGAAGACTACTTTTACTCGTATGTACCTAAAGGTCCTGGTAGCGGTAACGGGGATCTCCGCTAGTCAAGTTCAGAAATTGACATGTTCCTCGGTTTAATAATCAGAGGTAACTAGAGACTGGAGGTAACCAACGGAATCAAAGACAGTTTACGTACACAATCACCGAACATTAAAGGTTTTGTTTCTTATTAACTAGTTAACTAACTAACTAACTAACTAACTAAACAATACCAAACGGGATCATTGCCGTAGATCATCCAGGTACAAGGTCCAGGTACAAGGTGTAAGGCGAGGCGTCAGAGAAATTCGTCTCATCTTTCATACAGACGCCACATGCATCGTCCCTAGACACTTCCCAGGTCCTTGGGATGAAAGAATGTGTGGAGGAACCAATCGAGGTGAAGCCGAGCAGCACAGCCGCAATATCCTACCGCGTCTTCTGCAAGGTCCAAAAATTTTCGGGACGGCATGGAACAGGAAATACCAGCCCTATCTTAATAGGTGTCTGCGAGTCAACGGTCTACGGTCTGATACAGGCTATCAATGTTCAAGGTTCAAGGTTCAAGGTATAGCGTGTAGCGTGTCGGTTGTGTCGGTTGTATCGGTTAACAGTGCCATCCAGCCACCTCACAGGCTCACCCACGCACACGCATGCAGCTATTTACCGCCGGGAGTTACTGCATTGTAACCCTCTTAGAGGCTATGCTAATACTATATCGATTAGTTGTGCGTCGGGATGACAGCACTTTTTACTCTAATTCACCCCAACTCACCCCAACTCAAGCGCGCTTCAGCTTTGACAATACGCAAGAAGGGTCTTACGCTATACCCTTTCTATCTTTTCTCTTTTTTTCTTTCCTTTTTTTTACCTTCCCCATAGGTCGAAGCCGTCGCCCTACCTTAGCTTAAGGCGGCTCAGCTACCAAAACGAGGCGATTGAGGCGATACAGCTGCTGTAGCTATCTTTAGCTCCGAGTTACATATTTCGAGCCTCATCTTCCTTTTAGAGACTTGTTTACATCTCAGCCCAAGAAGTCTCTATCTCATTGGTAGAGAAAGACTTTTCCATGTAAAAGCAACGTTGTATCTACCTCCCTACTTACCTTAGATACTAAGCCTAAGCCTTTTCAACGTGTTCGACTCGAACCCGTCTCATCAGCGCTAGGCTATGGAGCGTGAAGCGTGGAGTTACGGGTCCTCCCGTGATTCCGAGGACGTTAGATCAACGACGTCGAATTCATCTGAGACCTAATCTACACCAAGGTCTACATGTCTCACGTTAGGGCACGGAGAGGTTTCGGTTTGCGTAGAAGTGGTCCGTGGTCCGTGGTCTTCCATCTTACTACGTCATATTCCACATTCGTGATCCGAATCGTCTGCTGGTGAGGCAGCCAAAGGTAAAGTTAAGACGATCATGGAACTATTGCGAACTAGATTCGTAATATCTCGTACAGACACGAGATAACATACATAGCATACATGCAGGCTAGAATATCATATCAAGGATTAGAACGGACGCTACTCGAATGGAGACAGCATCGCCACTCGGGACGCGACGTACGCGTGCCCAAGGCTGGCGGCAAAACTCCGCATCACAGACGCACTATTCGATAAAACCTGGGGATGGGTTAGCGCCGACGTTGCCGTGTATTTATAGCCGGACGTTTCATTAAGCCGCTCGCATTTTGATCAATGATATCGAAGAGCGAGCCAAAGCACCCGCCTAGCGCGTCTAAGTCGTACGTTGCCACGACTATTCTACCGAATAGCTAGCCGAGCTCTTCGATATCGCTAAGCTAAGCTAAGCCTGCTTGATATGCTTGCTATCAGGCCTATGGGGAACGAGACTCTGAAGCCATCCTCATAACTCAATTCTCACCTCTGCTGCTTAATCTCTGGCTACCTCACCATACCTCGTCTACCTTATTTTGATTACCTAGGAGGGCTAGCTGGATCGTAGTACAGAGTAGATGACAGCAGACATGTAAGTGCTGATATTGGGGGCCGTGATACTGCCCGCGGCATCTACTCTGCGGAGCCGGATGTGCATACACACGTATCTGGAGGTATATAATACGCCGTATACAGTCTAGTGTTTCATGAAGGCAAATATAAGGGATGATCATAAAGACAAACCTACCTATTTAGCATGTCCTATCAAGAGTAACTACTAGTTAATTGTACATAACCCTGTATTAGATCTAGAAAGCTACCTACCTACCTATGTATGTACAATAGTTTACAATTCCTTTCCGTCGGCGTAGGCTTGCTTAATAACCGAAGTATACGAGTTCACCGAACCCCCTACCTAAAGTACGTATCATTGTCTCATAGCAGACAAATACTACCTACCTAATAGTTAAACCGACGAATTATCAATCCCATTTGTAGTGCCCCTGACTTATTAATACACCTAGGTTAGTTTTCCTTGCGTTGAAGGTTCCGGCCCCTTCAACTTCTTCGGTCCGTTGACTACCTACATATCTACAGCCTGCCTACTGGGTACTTCAGGTACTCGCTAACACAGCTATTACCTACTGACATACACAAAATCTACCTACCTATTTATTAATCGTAGGTAGGTAGGTATCTAAAGAAATAAAACACATCGGCATATACTTCCCCCCCAGCCCCTTACCGCCACCCCTCCTGCCCAATTCTCACAACTACAACACGAAATGTATGTATGTATTTATGTATGTATGTATGTCAGAACATTATATGCGTAGCAGGCAAGTAAGATATACATACATACATGTAAATGCACACGCATAGGTAACTTACATAGGTAGGTAAGCAGATTACCTACATCCATCCATCAGGTACATACATACATACATACATACCATACCTACCATACACGCTGCGGATGACGGGAGGCGGTCAGCGTCTTATACACCGACGCATTTCGAAACTCTATAACTACCTACCTAACATTCATTAGTTATCCTGTTTTTAATGTAGTATAAAGGAGGTATAAATTTGACGAAGCGAATGATCAGGCTGCGCATGTTGATATAATGTAAGGTAAGGTAAGGTTAATTAAATACCTACCTATGTACCTAATGTATGCTTACATGCTGCCCGATATCACTTATACATATGAAAGGCTGGAAGTTTGTTAGATTTCACGTCAGATCTGCAAGTGTATACTTGCTTTGCAGTTTGATTTACTTGCCCATCGGCTATTGCATGTATTGGCGGTGTAGGATTGTAGAAATGAATAGTATATTGAACTGTCTAAACTTTTTACTGGGAACATTAACTAGATATTCTAGGCAACTGTTTTGATTATATATGCTATATAAAAAAGGCTATGTTTTTGATGGTACGCAGTATCCCTACTTGAGAACGAACTAGGAGATGGGCTAGATATAGGTAAAACAAAGGAACGTAGTCTCCGTACTATTACTATTCATCATATGCTTCATTCATGTCTATCAGATGGGTGCTAGACATCCTAGCCACCGCATACTCTAGATCCAATAAGAAGTAACTGACTTCGTAACTCAAGCTTGTGGCTCCCGTACCTAGGATGGCGCTCGAGTAGTTAATCCACAGAGTAGTCTAAACTCGACTGGAGTAGACCTTAAGCATCCTTCATGGCAACATCCTCGCCCGCGTTTGCGCTTCCGCTTTCATCTTCCGTGCGCATAACCCATCCCATCACCCCCCAAAGCAGGCGCATGGCTTCGAGCCGATCTTCGACGATGAATAAGTCGTACCATTTGCTGCGCCACGCCTCTAACTTGCCCCAGCTCTTTAACTTCTCCCCCTTCTCCCCTCCCGCTTCAACTTTGACATTCCCGTCCGGCGCGCCAGATAACACCTCGAGTAGGCGGTTAGGCACGCGCACGCGGATCACACACAGGTGGTGGAACAGGCTGCTGAGAAGGAATACGTCGTCGAAGTCGACACCCTTGATCTTACCGACGGCTGTGTACTTGGTCTTTTTGTCCCAGTTCGAAGACGGTAGCCGCACCATGCGGTAACTATCGTAGATGCTGAGGTTTTTACGCGGCTTCTTGCTCACGGGCTGCCCGCGCACGGGGACGAGCACCGTCTTGCCCCCTACTTTTATCTCTCTAGTAGCGCTAGTGGTTTCCGGCACTGGCACCGGCTTCACACCTTCAGACTCCTCAGGGTTGGATCTGGTGGAATCCTTGTCGCCTACGATGGAGTCGTTGTCGATCTCCCGTCCTATGGGACCACCTTCACCTCCACCCCAACGCTTCTCCGTGGCCCACCATTTGCCCTCGCCGAACCGTTTTTCAGGCTGACCTTCGCGGGAACGGTGCTGTGCGGTAATCAGTGCCGCGACAAGCTCCCGCCCGAAATCTAAATTTGCCTCCGCTGAAGTGGGGAAATTGGTCGTGTTACGCGCCGACACCGCTGCTATGGGGCCTTCGACGATACCCGCACGAGCGGCTTCGCGGGTCATCGGCGCCTTACACAGAAACACGCATCCGGATGGAAAGTAAGATGCTACTTGAGGGTAGTATCGCACCTTTGATTTCGAAACTACTTTACATGGAGGCGAAAACAGCTGTAAACGAGGCTCGACTCTCGGCGGGACCACATTGCAGCCGAAGTCGTAGGCTACAAGTTTGACGAAAGACGAGATTAAATTGTGGCGGAATTCGGCCGGCATGCTAGAGCCGCTATTAGTGCGGTAAGTAACTCGTTCGGGGGTCTTGGGTTTGGCTTCCGAGCTCTCGGACGAAGCACCAGTAGCCGGCAGCTCGGAATTTGGGTCAGTGGGTGGTGACTCCTCTTGACTATCAGTAGAGAGCGGTGGTAAGGAGGTGTCGTCCCAGTACTGCGCCATCAACTCCATCTGCCTGTAGAACTCATAGCAATTTCCGAGCCGCGGTGCTTGAGTCCCTGGTTCGGGCTTGATACGACGAATGGTCCGAAAAGCGGCTTGATTTGATATAGAAAGCTCAGTACGGCGGTCCATGAAAACACGGGCCTCAGGAGAAAGCCTTCCATTAGATAAGGTGCGTCGGAAAGTTGGATCCCTACGCCGGGCCTCGTCCAAGTCGATGCCGACCCATTCGGAGGCTATGGGCAAGAAGGACGGGTCCGGAACAACGTCCTCAGGCGGGGCGTCAGAATGTAACTGAACGCCAAGAGCGGCGAAGTGAGACTCGTTAAGATCATTAGGACGCTGCAGCTGTTGCAGAAAACGGACAAGGGATGGGTGAGAATTTGCGTCAGATGATTGAGGCTTGTATTGTGGTAATCTGACAGGAGTAGCTGGCGGAACGTCCTTAGGTGGCGGACCGATTTCGTGCGCGTTTGGCACTAATAAATAGATGAGATGATGAACAGAGATAGATGAAGATTATGTTTTTTCATTCTTTTTTTTTCGAGACTTTCGTAAGTTAACTATTAAGAGAGAATACTCATACAACACTCTCAGCTTACAATTTAAAATGCATTGCTGGCTGCATATACATTGTATCTCAGCTGGTTCCACAGCATACTTCACGATAATAAATGAGAAAATAGAAGACGCTAAGAGTTGACTTACCGAAACTGACTATCGAGCCCAACATTCTTGAACAGGTTGTCGTATATAGAGGTAGGCGTGTGCACGTTTAAGTATAGTAGTAACAGTACGTATACGGTTCTAGCGAGAGATCCAGTGAGAGGTCCAGTGAGAGGTCCAGTAAGAGGTCCAGTAGGGAAGTCCAGTAGGGGAAAGAGTCCTAGAGTGTGCCTTGCAATGATGCTTATGGGTGACACAACTCTCCAAAGCTGGCGGTAAGCTTGGCCAGTCAATCAATCGATGTGATTGTTTCTGTTTCAGTTTCAGATGTTATTCGGACCTAAGAACTAAAACTAATGGAGCTAAGTTCCGCTAAGTTCACGACAGGTTTCCCGAAAAGGAATCGAGAAAGGTGTGGTTGCTCGTGACGCTTACTAGAGCCGGAAAGACATGATGGGAAAGACCCTGTTGTAATCGGTTGAGATTTAGAGCGCGGAGTTTGGTAGTTTGGTTTTGGTTTTTTGCTCTAATTACGGATTATTATTACCTGACTTGAACATTTTCTTAGTCAAATCTGGTCTGTGCATTTGTTGCTTGCATAGCTGCATAGCTTGCATAGTTTGCATAGGAGGTAGCTTCCAAGGTTTTTGCTAATGTTACATTTTACCTTTTATGTAAATTGAGCATGTGCTTTGTAACTGTACCTTCCCGACATGCAACGAGATGCAGGTGGTTGGAGCAATCGAATCAATTAATATGTATACTACTACCAACGGCCGACAACCGATGTGGATTCTTATTGGCTGGTTGTCTGTAGTGTATGTATGTATTTGGGGTATTAACTTTTTGTTGGTTCTTCTAAAGTGGACCAACCATCCCCCTCTTATGTTTACCGTGCAAACGAGAGAATGCCATACCTACACACTCGAGTGGAAATCGGGAATTATATACAACGACCTCGACATCGACAAACAAACAAACAGTAATCCATCAAGTTTGATGCTCGGTAGATCGGGTCGTCTAAGTGGATTACATGCACAGAATACTACCACGTCGCTGCGCAATCCCCCTTCGGCAGCTCGGCAGCTCGGCAGCTCGGGAGGACATCAGATCCGATCCTACTACTCGTTTGTCGGGACTCGTCTATATCATCATACTGCTTGCCTTGAAACTCGGAGTCGTTCCATATGTTTTCTTCTTTCTAGCCTTCTTCTCAAACAAACGAAAGAGGAGACATTTATCTTTACCCACGGTTCACTAGTGTTCAAACGTTGGAACTCCTTAACAATTCAACCCGTGCCAAGTCCACTCGCCTCCGGCCCCGGATATCCATATACCTATATATCTCTTAATCGGTAAAATACTACCTGGTTACTATCGATGAGACAGGCCCCCAACCCAAGTCGTTAATATCATGTGTAAAAATAATGCTAAGTAAAACCTCAGTATTCGTTCCAAGTTTACTAATACCTTGCAAATAGGTAACTAGTAATATTATAAGATATAAGATATAAGATATTATAATATAGTGTGGCTTATCGATGCGGCTGAAGGGTGACCCCTCGCTGCTTCAGATTTGTTACAAGTCAGGGGTTCAAGCGTTTTACCCCACATCTACAAGAGGGAATTCTGAGGCTATCAACTCTCCTTAAACGACTCACAGGACTCATTGGAGCTTTTACATAGTACACGGCGCTTTGGAGGCTACCCCTGTCTGACTTGTCCAACCCATCTCCACCGTTTTTGTTTCTTCAACGGCGACATCAGCCAATCTTGCCCCCCCATATCCTTACCACCAAACATACCATACAGGGACCATGACCTTTGCGACAGAATCTAATGGACGTGCAAACCCTTAGCACAGTAGTAGTAGTGCACGTCCGCGATGTGGTTATCTCGGAGGTGGTAAAAATCCAGGGGGCCATAGTATTCTCGGTGACCTGGTCGTTAGGCGAGCCTTGGTCCCATTCATCTTGCAATTCTCTCGCTTTCTTCCGACAAGGAGTGGTGCTTTTCTTTCCGAACTTCATTCTCAGATATCACTATTACGTAGAGCGTTTAATCCAAATTCATTCTGTTTTCCCTAAGGGAAAAGACGGGATTTTTCTATTCTTTACAACCCGTTATTGATGATCTGATCATCGTAGCCCGGCCGCTACGGCCGTCTCCTTTTTCTCATTCTCATTCTCACAGCCTCATTTTATCTATACCTCATTTGCCCAGAGCGGCGCTAATTATTTCGTGTTCGGTTTGCGACTGGTATCGCCTTTTCATAGTTCACGATCATGGCGTCTATTACGACTCGTAAGGGAAGAAGGTGTACGGCAGTGCCGAAATTAGTACATATCGAAGCAGTACCTGGAGCTTCTAGTTCGACGTCGACATCGGAAACATCTTCATCAAGTTCAAGTTCAATTTCAACTTCAACTTCATCTTCGTTGTCATCATCATCATCATCTTCATCCTTACCACCCTCTTCCATATCTAGTTCGACTGCGGCCAATACTCCACCCGCAATTGAAAACCCAGCCCAACAGGATACTCCGCTCCCTCCAGAAATATTCCCAAGCCCAACAAGTATCATAGCAGCGCAGCCATCGATAGACCCGGCTATTTCGGCAGCACCTCCCGCGCCAACCATAACCGGCACCGACGAGGTCTCTTCTTCAGCTGCTCTCCTTACCGACACGGCTACTACTCCGTCCCCTACTCAACTAGATGCGCAAGTGTCGAGTTCAGCGGGGCAGGATGATAATCCTGTACAACCGACATCCTCGTTATTTGAACAGCCGGTAGACTCTTCCTCATTAACTAGTTCTGTTGAAAATACCTCATTACCGACGATAGGGGTAACGCAAGCTTCTAGTTCCTCGGTAGAGACGGGGGCAAAGGGGACAGGGTTGCCAAGTACCCAAAAGGCAGCAACTGGCAATGCTATCACTACGGGACAGACGATAGCCATAGCAGCTGGAGTAGTTGGTGGGGTCATGGCAATTTCGCTCATAGCATTCACCATCTGGTTCTGGCGGAAGAGGAGACAAGAACGGAGGAGTAGTATGTTGACGCCTATGTCCCCGAGGACAACATTCCGCGATGATGAGAAGGGATCTTATCTCATAAGCCGGACGTCCTTGGGTCCGACATCGCTCCCCCAGAAGCTCTGGGCGACCGTCGAGGCTAGGTATAGAAGACTGCGTGGACGGGTTGGCAGCATTGTGGCGCGTAGCAGTAGTCCGAGCCCAAGCGTTAACCTTGACCGCGGGAATTCCCAATTTGGTCTGCCCGAGCCAGCACATAGCCGAAACAATTCGAATACAGGACCATCAACTGACAAGGGCCGTCCTGTGGATTGGTGGGGTCGGTTAACGGAGGATGAGAATTCTAACTGGCAACTACGTCGCGAGTCGGAGAACCATGGGCCTGCATTTGGCTTACAACCCGGGCGGGAATTAGAAAAGGCGCAAGGAAGTGTAAATGGCAATCGGCGCCGCTCAACATCCGTGGGCGACGAACATTTCCTCGGCGGCCTAGGATTAGATTTCGATTCAGCTGACCCCTTTTCGGATGTAAACGCCATAGGCAACAATACGGCTAAGGCTAAGCCTCTGATGGTTTCCGCGGTCAATAATCCATTTTCGGATTCTCATGCTATTGCGGCCCCGTCGGGTGCCGTAAATGGAGGGATCGCAACATACGTGCAACATTCCCGACACTCCCACAGTCACAGCGTGAATGGTAGCATCAGCCGCCAGACGAGCAACGCTAGCCACCGCACGAGCGTGGGCACCATCGGTACTCGACGCAACAGGTTCCGCTCCGACCCCTTTGATTTGGATCGCCCGGATTTTCTACGGAGCGCCAACTCTAGCATGGATGCTACCGCGGGATGGGCCAGCAGAGCCAGCCGCAGCAGCACTGATATCGGGAGTGTACCCGATGCTCCGCAGCAAGCCCATATGAGGAACGCAAGCTTCTCGTCGAAATACTCGAGCGGCGTAAGCAACACGGGCTGGAGCGAACCGGGGCCAGATATTGGTCCGGTAGTTGGGCGGTACACACTAAGTCCAGATAGCCGACCAGAGCGACGGGATTCTGACACAAAAAGCGGCAAGAGCCAGGGTAGCGTAGGCAACGCCCTATAGCATAACCTACACTTACACCTAAAACACAAAGACGCAGTAGACGTAGCGTATAGCATAGAGCGGGGAGAGGGTTAGATGACGAGGCATGAAGCAAGCGCTGCAGCTTGATTATATACAGCATAGTTATCGAAAAGGGTAGCTCGGAGTTTGACGGTGCATTGCTCTTTTTTTTTTTTTTTTTTCCTGTTGGGATCCATGATACCCAGCAACCACACACACTCACTTATGATACCATAGGGAAGGGAGAAGGAAATGGCGTGTTCCCTGCTTAACCCCCATATATTTATATATATATATAGAATCTGTTCCTTTTTTTTTATTGTTATTGCTGTTCGACATGGGGATTATTGTTCCCCGTCCCATATACCCAAGCGAGGGAATTAAGAGATGAGTGTACATTAGCACGAGGCCTACATGTATGGCTCGATACCTATATAGCTAGTTGGATAGAGTACGTATATTGTGTCGATGAGGATATAACGTAGGTAGCCGAATCAAAAGTTTTGACGTTAGACGCTTGGCTTTAGGATGGTGCTGCGTGTTGTTGAGAGTTATTTGTCTTTGTTGTAGTGAAGGGAAGAATAATATATAGTTTAGATTAACTAACTAGATACTTTAACATTGATGTATGATATAATTACTGGTTATGAAAACAGTCTTCCAACTCAATTCGTAATAGGTATTAATCATGGCGTGTATATTAGGAGTATTGGGAATAGCTAGCTAATTGGATAATTTATGATTGCTCCAACATTTATTCTTTTACTTCTGATTGTAAGGACGATGTGAAGACTGATTCTGTAACACACACGTCTCTTACATACATGTATGGATGTATGTAAATATGTAGGTACCTACTTATTATGATTCTTCCTTTCACTTTCACCGTAGTTGTGTTACTACCTAGGTACCTCTAAAACCCAAGTCTTTACATATTAAATACATGCCCTTGATTATAAAAATTGGCTTGGCCATTCTTTAGGTAGTTAATCCCACGTCTTGAACCTCTACATTCTTGTCTATGTACTCATCAGCATAAGCATTAGTTCATTACTACAAGCATATAACTAAATTCAGCATAAGGAATACCTTTTGTTTATAATTACCTACTTATATCAAGCTTTCGACATCTTCATCAACTATTTACATGTAGACATATCACCTTATGTAGGTACCTAGTACTTATAACACAAGCAAACCTCAAAGCTTCAGACAAAAAATAAAATAACTAAATAAATACCTTAAAATATACCATCAACAAAACTTCTCCATCCCAAACGGAGAATTCCCCAACTCAAAGTAACCTTATAGCTCTTTCTACCGTTCATCTCATCTCATAAAAGGATCCCTTAAGCATACCTACCTAGCCTTCCACTGCCAAGATACCCCGCTCTTCGTCTCCCACCACACATCCATCCATCCATCCATCCATCCATCCATCCAACCTACCCCACCACACCACACCAAACCACACATGAGGTACCTAATGTACACAAAGTACCTCACCCAAGTACCCTCCCCATCCCAACCTCCAATCTCATTGGTCTGCCCTCCCTCCATTACGCCAAAAAACGCGAAAACACGAAAATTCCCGCCGCGCAATTAAATCACCACGCGTCCGATGCAGATCCCAGACGCGTCTGCCCCGTACAAAAAAGGCATCGTATTGTCGTCACATGCATCCCTTCCATAAACATCACATACCTACCTGACTCGAACAATTCACCAGCACTACTGCAACAGAACGAATTAGTCCATGGTTTTCACTTTCAATGGCCAATTACTCCATCAATCGACCGGCTACTGTTTGTTTTGTGTTTGTTTACTCGCCCCGGATCGGATTTGCAAAAACAAAAAGACTCGCATTGTTTGTTTATTTGTCTGTCTGTCTGTCTGTCCGTGAGTGAGCTATACCACACTACACCGGCTTGCTACGTAGTTTCGTTTGTCCGTCAGTCCGTCCTTCCATGCCGCCCATCCATACCCTACCATCAAACTATCGTCCAAAACTACGCATGCGCAATAGCTTCCCTTATCTCGCGGGAGAAGAAAAAACAACAACAAAATACCCGTACGCAGGGTGGGTGTGAAGCGCAATATCGTGCGAAGCATTACCGAAAACAATGGGTGCCGTGACCAATAGACTCCACGCATTCCACGTTGCTGACCTCGGGATTAAAAGACGGCAATATGAAAAAGAAAAAAAGACGTAGTCCGTGTCCTGTGTCCTGTGTTGTACAACCATACCGGCCCTTGCTGTCCGTCCATCCATACCTCTTGGGAAACATACTAAGTGATCATGGCGAAAGCCGGGTATTGTCATGTGTGCGTGTGCACATCAAGGTGAGAAAAAAGGTGTAGACGTAGAAGTGAAAAAAGGAATGTAGCGTCGTTCGTAGGTACATATTTATCCCGACGTAAATTGCAAGTGATTAGGCATATCTAGCTGAGGCAGCTTTATAGCCCAAGTGCTGGGTCATCAAACGTTAATCGTCGTCTTGCTCCGCTTAGTGGCGTCTTCGCTGTAGGCGTCTTAAGCGACAGCGGTGTCTTCCACGGCTTCTGCGCAGGGCTGGGTGTGATATTGACAAAATCTGACATGTCAAAGGGTTGGCCTGGTGTTGTGGGAAAGAGGGTGCCACCTCCAGGGGTTGTCATCATCGACGACGGCAATGCGAGGTCTTTCTTCTGAGGTGGCGTAGAGGGAGGCTCCATTCGAGTCTTTGTCGAATGTACTGCCGGTGAGGGAGATGCTGCCAGATATAGCAACAGATCTGCGCCTTCTTCCGGCTTCTCCCCGTTCATCATACCCCTATCCTTATTTCGGCGGTTTATCGATCTGCTACGCATAGGCGGTGTTCGAGGGGGCGATGTCCGATTGTGGTCGTGGCCATGATTAACCATAAATGAATGTGCGGGTAATAGGTCGTCGTCATCGTCTGAATGTGCTGCAAAATTTTGTGCAGTAAAATCCACTGAGGGGCGGCGGGAACCTTGGAAAAATGACACATCAGGCCCCGTAGAAGTTGTAAAGTGTTGTTGCCTTCGTGGCTTGATAGGAGAAGACTGAGTTAGTTGACGATGTGCTTTCCATGACCTATGTGGAGGCTCGAAGGATTTGTATGCGGTAGGTGAGGTACGGAATCGCTTGGTTGGACTCGACATGGTTATATCAAACGAAGCCATGTTGTATGTGCGTTTTCGATGACCGGTGCTGCCGTTGCTGGATCCAATGGCATCTGAAAAGAGAGGGGCCTTGAGCGGGGAGCTCATAAGTGTAGTTCTGCTGCTAGGGTAAGGCAGTTCTGATGTGCTGGACGAGGAGTCGGAGAGTACATCGCCGTCGACAAGGCGTCTACGTCGAATCTCCTCTTCGATCTTGGGCTCGATCGTATCGAGTGTCAAGTCCTCCCATCCGTGCTTTGTCTTAAACTGTGCTAGAGCCAACCGACCCTGTAATCTTCGGGCGATCTACAAACGTGAAAAAAAAATCTGTTAGGTCTTGATTTCTCCTCGCTCATCCGGTAGGTGAACCAAATTTATGAACATACCTTGCTAACTTCCACTCGCTTGAGAACTTTATCTGCTACAGCCTCAGGCTGTTTCTTCAACGGCGACGACATGCTATTTTGCTTGGACCAGACGTAAACTTTCTTTTTTTCTCTCTGGATTTTCCCCCCTGAGTGGAAAGTGACGTTTGTCGAGTGATTGTCGAGAAAATATTGCGGGGAGTAAGGATGATTGGGTCGACTTGTAGGCCAGGCGCTTGCTGGTGTAAGCGAAGGGGGGTTGATGGTTGCTTCGGAAGGATCGAGGATGTTGATAGGTATGTACGATTTGGATGAACGTGAACGAATAGAATTAGGTATTATTAGTATACCGATTCGTCTGAGTCGCAAATTTTATTAAGATGGCTCTCGAAGTCGATATGTACAGTGAAAAGTCCGAGGGACAAAGAAGAACTAGAAAGTATAGTTTGTATACTGTGGTAATGTAATGAACGACGACAGTGAGGCAGTACGTAGGAAGTGTGTAAGGAAAAAAAGTCAATTAGTTCATGTTGGCGGAGGTACGATCTTGCTTGGATACCCGCAAGGAAAATAGGCAATTGCGCTAAAAGTTAGGAAAGGGCTATTAGGTAGTTCCGTCTACATAAGGTACAAAGTAACGGTACTTGTTGCTTAAAGTGCTTGACTAAGCCAATTATGCTAGCTAAGCTAACCTGGACAGGGCTAACTTGGGCTGACTTGTCGCATTCCTTCCCCGTGGAAACCGGCTGATGCAATATTGGAAATTAGGAAGTCTTAAAGCCCGAGCTCAGCTTCCCTTGCTGCCTTGGGTGAGCTCACTGTTGGGTCACTAACTTTCAGCGCAAACCCAGAATCTCATAGGGCCAAATGCACTGATGCACTGATGCAGCGCCCACTGCACGGTAAGCTACGTCTTTAGGGGGTTTATTGTGACCACTAATCTACCAGTTAGATACCATTAGTTAATACAATTACTTCTAAGCGACTAGGATATAACTTTTGTAACCAATTATTTCTGCAACAGCTTTAGGTACCTACCAGGCTACAGGTGGCCTGCGAACAAGTACATAGACTGGCGTTTATGCTGTGAGCCTATAAGACAAGCTTACTGGCGTTTGTCCGCCCTTGTCTTCTCAACCTACACTAACATGCATGGTCTTAACAAAACCGCGGGATATTGAGCAGAGCCTTTGATTGGGTTTTAACCGGTGAAACTTAAAAGGGGGACGGTGGGAAACACTTAAAGCTAACATACGTGTTTATTAATGACAAATAGGAGAAGCTTCATGTGGACAATTTTGCTATAAGCTGATCGGAATGAGATGGCAAGTTCACATATCCTATTAGACAAGGTGAGGACAAATGCAGTAACGTCCTCTAGACATGACATTTCTTAGTATCATCCCTATTTACACAACAGGTACAACCAGCTGCCGGGTTACCTTAATATCTGGAAATAAATCATATGCAGACTCGATATGGCGGGATTGACGACACTGTCTTAGTAAAAAAGTATTTTATGTGAGATTTCAAAGCCCCTTTTTGTTGGGTATGTTGATGTCATAGGGCTCTCCTATTCT